ACACACACACACACACACACACACCACCATCAGCAACAGCTCATGCCACAGGGAGCTGTCTTTGTTGATCCTAAGCTGATGCATCATCATCAAGAGAAGGTGTAAAAGAAAAACATGAACATACTTGATGAATAAAGATTCCCGAGTGTTTTCAACAGACAGCTGTGATTTTCTATTACACAACAGCAAACGCACATTTTCATTTTAAAAATCCAGACGCTGATGAGTGACAGTTCMCACTTCACTCATCTTCTATGAACAAACAAAAACCCTCCAGCATTTTCTAATAATTCGAGTCAGTGGCTGTCTGATGTCAGACACACAGCTGCCACTCTTGAAGGGGTGACATGCTGCTTTTGTACCGGGGCTTGTATGGGGAAAAAAAAGGTGTTGTTCTGTCTGATTGTGACCTTCTTTCAGGCTAAAGTTGGGCAGAGAGATGATTGCTTTGCAAAGGTCGTTGAAGTCCAGACACCAGAAGGAGTAATTTGTCTCACCCTGACAGGTGCAGCAAACAGAGGGAGGGTGACGCCGAGTGTACATGCCCCAGAGGAGACGTTTGATTGCCCCAAAACAACTGAGCTAACCCATCACGCTGGAGCAACTCCTAAAATTCACTCTAAATCAGTTATTCAAGCTCCCAGTTGAAGAGATTATTGTTTGAATTGACGGTTCTCATTACTGCTTGTTGTTACTGATTAAAAAAGAGYAATCCAGAAATTTTGGTCAAACCTTAAACATGAAAACCACCAAGTGGTTTATGAGAGAGCACACGGACAAGAAGTATAACATTATTGCTCCACGTTTGCTTTAAAACACCAGTTTAACTTTACCAAGTATGACTGAATGTATAATATGAAGGCATGATATTAAACGGGTAATCATTTAAGCATTTCAGTATCAAATAACCCAATTTTATGACACGAGTTTTAAAGCTCATTCTGGACCTTTTGATCTGAAAACTTATTTACATGCACCCTACTGCTTTCGACCTCATCTAGCAGTTTTTTTTCTGCCGTTGGAGCTGGATCAAACTGACAGCCGTGCATGCTCACACCTGCGGCCAACTTCACTCCCTAACATGCATGTCTTTGCACTGTGGGAGACAAGTGGGCACTTTGAGCACATGCAAAACTGCACCATGATGTTGTTATCCATGTCTATGTATGTGTGTGTTTGCCAATAAGATTTTAATGAAGCTTGGTTAACTTAAGGAGTCAACACAGTTCAAGATGGCTGAACATGCTACACATTGTGCAACAGCTTTACTTAGAACTTTTRACATTTATTCTAAAACTGTCATGAAAGGTCACGGGTAATAACAAAGGCTAGTTTAAATTTCTAATGTTTTACATTGTGTATTTCATACAGCATAAAGCATGTAATTTATGTGTATATATAAGATTTTGTCCTGTAAACTCACCTTTCTCTTTTCAGTTTTGCATCTTCCTGTCATAAAATTATCACTGTATGCATTTGATTTGTAATAAAAAATTGTAAAAAAAACGCTGACATTTACTGCGGCCAGGATGATCTGATCTCATGAACCGTCAGCAGATTTCCCATCAGGTCATGCACACATTAAACCTCCTTCAGTCTGAGTTGCCATTTAACTGTCCAGAAGAGTCCGAGCTGAATCCCAGAATCATTTTTAGAACCGGCGCATTAGTGGGGTCATTAGTAGCCTTATCACCCCTATGCTGCGCAGTGAGCTGAACCTTATTAACGATGCTTGATATTTCTGTCAGGGATTGTGTGCCACTCAGTGCTTCTGGGAGTTCAGACAGTTCCAACAGAAAAAAAGAAAAAAATGGCTACATTGCTGACAAATGTCATATCAGCTGAGACAAGACTGCCTCCAGTGTGCCTTTGATTCAACAGCTGTTATGTCGTTTGCTCAGAGCTGTGGAGACTGTGATATACCACTTTTTGATAAATTTTTAAGATAATTTAATTTAAGTAGCAAAGTGGTATTATTTTCACTCACCAGCAACACATGTTTGAAACTGAACTATCCATTTAAAGCTACTTATTGTAGTATATTTAAGATTGGTCCAATATAAAATTTATAACATAAGAAATAAAATCAGCACAACTTTTTCCCCCTCATATCAATGTTAGGTCAATAATGGTAACATGCAGGATTGAAGAGTTCAACAAGTTAGATATTTAATGTGTACACTGAGTCAATATTTGAATTTGAGTAAACTCTTTCTCATGACATCATTTAATTAAGTTGAGAATAAACGTTTGCCTTTCAGAGACCAACAATAGTGCTTGTCACCACCTTAAACAAAATTAATCAAAAATACAAGATTGAAATGACCTGAATATGTCAGGAGCTGTTTTATGCAACATTTGTACAGAAACTAAAAAACAAGATCTGCAAAGCAAACTAATTAAAGCACATTGGTAAGAAAAAAAATTAAAGCTATGGATCCTACAAACTTTAATTACCATATTGAAGAGCTGCGACCCAACCGGGGTGTGCAGAAGTGTGAGGCGTCGGGGCTTAGCGGCGGAAGGTGACGTGAAATAAAGTTTAAAGATTAGGCCGAGAAAAACCTAAACAGGACTAGCAAGAGAAAAATTTATGGATTGTCTATAGGAGTGACTTTTATTGGGCGCACATAAACAAGCCTGCGTTGCATCATAAATGGACATGAAATCCTGGTCTGAAGCCTTACAGGGATTTCTTCAGTCCGCCTCAAATGTTAGAATATCAGCGAGAGAAGACAACATTTACAGTGTGTTGGGAGTTTTTGTTTAGTGCAGCACCAATTAAAAAAAGTCAGTTGTAATAAAACTTCAGGTCATATAAACACTGTAAYGTCTTTTACAACCATCTATAATACTGTCACTTTCGTTTTGCTCATTCAGATTTACTGCATCTGTGTTTAAATACTTTAAAATGTACAAAGGACTCCAGATGGGTCCTATTTTTTCAACCCACACAAATGCTCCTTAGTGTAGGTGGGAATCCTCATGACCCAACATGGGTCTAAGGAAGTTAAAAAAATACAATATGGACAAAGTTTTGTATTTTAGGGAAGATGTTACACACCATGGGATAAAATCTCTATCTGACAAAAACAAATGTATTTGATAAAAATGGAATTTTAAATAAAGGTTTCACACAATGAAGCTTTGTGCAAAAACCAAGTCCTGCTGTGCGTGAGTCATCTAGTTTGTTTTCCTGCTTAAAGTGTAAATTCTTCTGTCATATTTTTATTATTATTTATTTTTAAAGATTATAACCATTAGAACATTTTTTAGACTTTCAAACAACTTAATAACTCATAATTTATGATCAATGTGTTTCTTGGGGTGTTAGAAATCATTTAAACATTAAACTCTAAGTGTAAACATGACTGCCTCACAAATGTGAACAATAATGTATCATCCTCAAGTGTGGGATAAAACACAATGCCTTTTTTATTTTTATAAAACAAAACAAAAAAAGTTCTGTCATTTTTAATCAGCACAGTCAAAGTTTCTCACAAATCCAGTCACGAATCCCAATTATACCAGTTTACAGAGAGGGCACAAGAGCCGAAGATTGCATAAAAGGTGTTATCTTCAATTTTCAGTTCATTATCCCTGGCTTCCATAAAAGGTGAGCGTTAATGCAACTGCCTCTGTGTGTGTTTGTTTATTTTGTCTGTTTGTTAGCACAATATCACATCTCATGAACCAGTGAATGGATTTTAATGAACCTCTTAGAAAATAATTGGATGTACATCTGGGACAGATWAACTTTTGTATTCTCAGTTCAAACTGACCACAGCTAATCAAATTTAGCAAAAATAGAGTGGCTCAGTTCATGGTACAGTTAATTTGGTCAGATTTGGTGTGGTAGTAGTTGAAAGTCTTCTGCAAACCTGGAAGGCTGACAGATCATTTCATTGTTTTTAGCTTTTTTTTTCAAGAAATACTTGCATTTTTGTGAGTTTTTCTGGATTTAATAGCTTATTTAAACATTCCAMGCCTGTTTATACATTTTAGTTACAGTAATAAAATGGCTCTTCACCAGACAGGAACAAAAAAAAATCACATATTTGACAGCTTTACTTGTCCATCAGCTGCACCCAACAGCTTGTGATCATAGGCTCCATGTCATTTTCAGCTGCCAGCTTCTCAATCCTTCTCAAAYTGAACTTTCAGCCTCATCTTCCCACGTATTCTCAGGGGAAAAAAAAAAGAAAAATAGTACGTCGCTCATGCTTAGTTTTATGYACCAAGTAATAACCCTACAAGGCTGAAAGCTGTTGAACCAGKTGAACATAAATTCGCCAGAGCCAGCTCATTAGCTGTCCTGACACCCAATTAGCGGCAGACGGAAAACAAAACAAACATCTCTTAAACTTTGCATCTGAATAACAAGAAGATGATGAGCGTCCCTGGAAACACATCAKTGTCGTGACTGCAAGAATTTATTTACCTTTTACCTYAATTGTAGCCATTAGRGTACAAGAAGATATCATCTTGGGTKCACAAGCTTGACCAAACTGGTCCTGGAAACGCAAATGGCTGCGCGCATCACAAGACGCGCGCACAACAAAACATTTGCGCATCACTGTAAGGAGCGCTTTATTATTAATTTACAGTAAAGTCCAGTTTTAATGACACGGAGGAAGTTGCTCACACATTTACGCGTAAGAATCCTTGTGAATCATCCGCTGAATCATGGCTTGGCAAAACCCAGTTAACGAGTGTTTTTCTTCTTCTTCGTCCTTTTTTTTTTTTTTTTATTAAGTTTTATTATATGAGCTCCAAAGTTCAGCTTCAGTGACGGAGGAGCCCGGGAGAGTGAGGTGAGGGAGGAAGGAATGATGAAGACATATTTTTTTCCTTCCAATTCCAACATCTGCCTCTCGATCATTTTCGGATTTTTTTTTTTTTTTTTTTCGCGGAAAGCTGCTCGGAATGAAGAGAACCCCTCTGCTCATCCACACGGAGGCGTTAAAGGTGAGTTTAAAGTTCTAAACTGGCCGACTTTTAATGCCCTTTTCCTGCGTAATGTTACTAATAAAAAAAATCACGTTTGTGCCAAAAAGTTTCAAGGCAGCAGCTCAACAGGTGGTTCTCTGCGCGCGGATAGGAAACGTTTCGCATGAGCGCAACTATTCGTTTTGATAGACGCACTCAGCAGAACAAAAGGTAAGCTTTCTGTGTTCCCGCGGCTTTATTATCAAATGAAACTGGCTGTGGTCGTTATGGATAATCGCGTTGGAGCAATTGCGGTGTTTGGATGAGTGTTCTTCCACATCGGTGCGCGCTGCAGATTTATTTCGGTTATTCTTGTGGAATAATGTGAGTTAAGCCGGTTCCTAAATATTTGTGAGGGGGAGGCGTTTCCAGCATCAACATAGGGTCGCAGAGCGGGTTTGCATCCACCTGCCTCAGATCACATTTAAAACCAAAGATCCAAGGGAAGCATTTTTTTATAGATCTGATAATTTGTTGATTTTCAGTTGAAGCTCATTAGCAAGTAAACAAAGCACACATCTTCCCTCTGTCACTCTGTTGACAGGTACTATAAAATGTGACATTATCAGAATGTACTTTAAAAAAAACTACTTCATGAAGCTATTAAAATGCGTCTTTACATGTGTTAATGCTTGAGCCAAACTGCCTTTAAATCTGGAGGACTTTGGAGAAAGCCTCTCTAATGGAAGTCTGCAGCCCCAGTCATATTTTAAATGCAAACATGGGAGTGTTGGTGCAACCAGAGGGGCTTTATTTTTCATTATACCTTCCCTATATCCACAGAGAGAGACAGACACACACATTTCACCAAGCTTCCTGGATTGACATGAACACATGAAGACATGAGTGAGTCACTTTCTGAGGATGCACCGCAGAAACCTCTCAGCCTCCACTTCTGCTGTGTTGTTGCAGTTTTTTTCATTCTCCATGCCAAACACAAAATGATTGAAAGGTTCATTGTCCTTCCTCCTCCTGAGTGTGTCATCAGTGAGTAAGCGTGTACATGTTTGACCTGTGATAGATAGATAGATAGATAGATAGATAGATAGATAGATAGATAGATAGATAGATAGATAGATAGATAGATAGATAGATAGATAGATAGATAG